TCCCTACAAGAATTCATGAAGTGAAACATTTCCTGAATACAGATTTAAAAGCAGTGGTATCACAGCAAAAATTAGACTGTGTTCTAAAAAATATTGTGTTGAGAGCACATTTCATTCCAGCAGTCCTTCCTTCAAATAAAAGCTTTTATTTTCTATATTGAATTTGAAGTAATTTTCAAGCACACTGTTTTAAGAGCAGTACTGAAATAATTTATTTTTATTACTGTGCTCAAGGATATGAAAAAAGTTACGTGTAGGTGTTTAAACTGATTTATCCTGTTTGCATCAGATATAATTTTAGAGTGAAAGAAGTTAAGAGGATTAGAGAACTACTGTGCATCACTGATGATTTCAAAATGAGGCTTTAGCCATGGATATGGCTGAAAGAGCCAACACATCTATATGCAACTGTTTATTCTGTGAACTCTAATCTAGCTCTGAGTTGCACTGCTGTTGGGTCTTTCTGGGCATGTTGGGTTTTCACTGCTTGCAAGAAATAAAACGTATTATTAACAGAAGAAATGAAAAATCTTATCTTCCTTTTAAAATCATGAAGCAGCACTTGTAGGGACCACTCTTTGTTTCTAAAATAGCGCTTCTCAAAGAAGGGGCCAAATTTCTAGTGTCAGTTCACTGCTCAACTGCCTGGTGGGGGGGCTTCATGTCAAGTCTCCAGTTTAGCCCATGCTGCCCTGGCTGGCAGCACTATGCCACCATTAAAGAACTCTCTCCTACTCATAAGTGGTGGTGATGCCTGTAGCCAGAGTTAACTGGAAGAAGTAGATACAGCAGGATGGTAAAGAAAAAAAGGATTCTGAGAAATGTGACACAAACTGCAAGATTTACCTGCTGATTTCCTATTGTATCATACTGACTTTAACTCTGAAATTTATAAAAACGTGTCTTTTAAAGGGATACTTAAAGCAATGTAAGTCTATCCTTGTAATTTATACATATATTTAGATGACATTAAAGTGCAATAACATTTAACTTTATGTCACCAGTATTGTTCACATGACTAGTCAACTCTTCTTCTACTAAATAAAAACCACACAATTTTTCTTTCTCATGCTATTTTATCTGGAGCACATAATGCTTGTGAATAACAGCTTCATTTCCCCAATTTCTAAAACACTACAAGCTCACTACTTCCAAGTCAGTCAAGCTAACCCAGTGTGGGGTGGCATGGGGCACAGCATCCCCAGAGTTCGATAAGCTTCAGATTTCTAGTAGTATCTGCTGTCTTCTGCTTTGTTTTTAAATGAGCTCAAAGCACAAAGTGTAATTGCTTTTTGTACTGCACATGGATGAGAAGTATCTACCCTACAGCAGATAACTACATCCCTTTAGATTACTGCTCTTTCCTGCTACCCTTGTGTCCTCTGTTGTGATAGCTAACTCATTACTGCAGCTCACAGAGCGGGAAGCAGCGAGAACAGTATGCTGAGAGCATGGTCCACCTCCCACGCTGCTCTCAAATAGATTCTTTTTTCCTATGGTTTCCTGAGTTATATCCTGGCTATTACATACACCTATACAGATAAATGTATACTTATTCCTACACACAATATATTATATTAAAAAGTTCACAAATCTTTGGGGCATTATTATCCACATTTCAATATTTCACATTCCAAATTCTTCTGAAATATTCATAGATTCAGACACAGCCTTAAATTTGTTTTACACAGAAAAGTCCCCAGTCTGCACATTTGAGGTTACACACAAATTCCCAAATACGCAGAAACACACTAATTGCAATGAATAAAGCAGAAAGAATGTTGAAGGTTATTACTCCTAGGACAACTGAGAAGAAAAAGTTCTCAGTATGTATCAGAATGTGCATTTTGAGGTCTGGTTTTTAGTAGCTCTGAAAACAGAACAATACATGGACTGAACATAAATGATTTCTAATAAGAGAGCAAGATCCATTAATAAGAATATAAGAACCATTTACAAGAAACAATATAGGGCTATTTAAACAATGTAGAGAGACAGAAATTCAAACCGGAAGACAAAAACTATGAAAAAAAAGCTTAAAAAAACCCCAAATCAAACCTTGTCCTAGTGTAGACAGAATGGCTGCCTACAATGACAGCCTTCAGCAAAGTTAGGAGAATAAGAAAATATGTACAGAAAACAAAAACCTACTTTCAAAAAAATGAGAGGAAAAAAGTATTATTCCACAAACAGGCTATACATCAGTAAATTATCTTCTAAGCACCACAGCAAATTTCAAGTAAGACAGAAAACAAGACTCTTAAAAATACTGATGGTACTTCTCTGGCATGATGTAGTCAGGTATGCTTTAGAGATACAGTATCAAGAACTGCATCTTTATCTGCTTAGAATCTTTTGAATAATGCATTTGTATTATAATTAACAGGTTTTGGACTTTTGCAGGACAGCTTGAATACATGGGTTTAACATAAAGATGAGCTCACTAAAAGCCTGTTGCTGGGAAAATTCTCTGCTGGATGGAAATCTTGCAGGTCCCAGCATGTGTTCTCTCAGATGCAAAGAGAAACTGTTTTTTCACTCAGAAACTTAAAAAATAAATTCAATTCCTTCTTCATACGTGATTTATTTATTCCCTTTTCCTCATGCTTTTTATGTGAAAGATGCTGAAGACAATTCCATATGAATATGTATGTATGTACACACAGATTTTGCATTCATATACTTTTAGGCTGCTTTGCGTAATAGATCATAGCATAAAAAATGATTCCTCTACTTACTGCCATTTTTAACACCATGGATATGATGAGTATTTAATATTTTTTTTTTAAATTCAAATTAGGCAGGATGGTTAATTACAAAGGCAACAAGACAGTGGTGCCATGCCATATCTTCTGTATTCCCAGTGATTAGGACAGTATATTTATGAAGACAGTACATCAATCTAATATAGCTTATCCTGCTACCTGTTGTTTTTATGATCTTAGTTTTCGTGGATCTTTCTTATAATCACCAATGTTATAAACACACGCATCTGCAACTGCTAGCAACTCCAAAGGATATTTCCATATTTGATACTTCTCAGTTTCCAGCCTCTGAATTAAAGATTCTGGGTAAAGGCCAGGAACACCAGTTTGCATCTACACTTGATGCAAACTACCACCACTTCATCGCATCTGCTACCTTTAAGGAAGTTCAGATAATCCAAACCAGCTAAGAAGTCCATTCCTGCATCTATCTAAACCTTGTATGATCACTTATTTTATTCCTACCATGCATACAGTCCAGTATGTTTGACAGCAGTACAGGAGCTATCAACACAAGAAACAAAAACATTATACAAAGCAGACATACAAAACCCTTATCAGGTATCACTGCCCTTCTCACCTGTCATGTGAAAATTTTAGCTGCTGGGTTTGTTGTTCATGAGCATTAATCAGCAGTTTCTTCAGTAGTTCACACTGTTGGTTCAAGTGTAAATCACGGATTTCTTGCTCTTCAGCACTGTGCGTATTGATCATCTCAGACCACTCTTTAGTGTGCTGTGCCACAATCTCTTTAACCTGTAGAGAAGTAACAGCAGCTTTGCTAAAGGTTCTCAGCTAAGCTAGGAGGTCAACTATTACTGCAACTGAAGATGAAGTAAAGATAATAACAAAAAAGATTATAAAAAATGCAGCTAAATTGTGAAAAATGAAGTTACACAAATGAAGTTTCTTCACAGAGTAACAAAGCCACTGAGGATGCTAGAGTATATTACAAAAACAGATGTAAAACAACCCTTACTATTAGAGCTCTATTATCTCAAGTGCCCTGAACAAATTGGCTGCATTTTATGCTCTTGACTATAGTACTGTTATTTTAAAACCTTCTCTAACACTGAGTTCATAATAAAACGGTTTCACATTTTTGATTGCTAAGAAAAAAAAAAATTAAAAATATTGAAATTAAGAATGGAAAAAATCTAGTGAGCAGGATTTCTATGAGAGCTTAAATACAGTCTTTGATTTTGTGGAAAGAGTTTTACAAACACAGTCAGTTTACAGAGAAATCATGTATTTAATACAACCTGAATCTGAAGATGTGCTATGTATCTTTGTTTTATATTCATTAAGTCAGCAGGATGCTCCCAAGACTCACAAGAATAATGAGATTAAAGTTTTGGAAAGTTCCCAAGAGACAATATGAAGAAGTCTAAATCAGCAGAGTTGTTGTTATAATAATATATTGCACTCAATTATTTAGAAAAAGAAGCCAATAGAAAAACATATTTTACTATCCTTCAGTAATTATCTTTGGTTATTTTGACAAGCTATCCTACTTTTCCATAAACAGTATACAAAATATGCCTCACAATAAACCTATTTTCATGCAGTCACTTCAACTGCTACAATGGTAACTAATAGCATCTGGGTCATCTTCTATGAAAGCTAAACCTTATTTTTAAAATAAAAAACTGCCACCATATTGCTCAGAAAGTGAAAGATTGATGCCAGTGTTTTACGTGTGAGCCCACATGTGGGCTCTGCATAATGCAGAAGAGACTCTCCTGCACACACTGATGATGGTGAAAAAAGAGGGGACCGTAACAGCCTCCATTCTGCCCTGGAGAAGCTTTTCTGAAGGCCCTCCTATACAAAGCTTATGTTGTGTAATAAAGCTGGACTCCTAATAAAAAAAAAGTGTGTAATTTTGTAACAGATCAGGGTGACTACCACAGCAGTTAACAGAGAGCTACCTGGGGTTTTCTGCAGCTGCCAGAAAAACACAAAAGCATTTTGAGGCAGGAGATTAGCATGACTAATAAAGGCCTAATTCATCAGGGTGTTTAAGGGCGAGTGTACTTCCAGCAAAATGAGCCACACTTATTTTTGTGCATGTAGGTAAGGGTACTACTACACCAGAGCCTATCAACTATAAAGTAGTAAGTACACTGAAGGATGTGGAGCAGTTAGTGGCAGTAGTATCTTTAAAAAGATACTGCCTTCAGACCTACAAAAACATGACGATTCAGTTTTAGAATTAGGCAAAATAAATTGGAAGTTGGTAAGGAAGAGACACTCACTTTTCAGATGGAGTTTTTGAAAGGTTGCAGGGCAGACACTCCAGCTCATGTCTGGCATCCACCTAAGGCACTTAAGTTAGGACCAAGTTTAGTCCAAGCTTCCTGTATTACCTATGTGAAGAGTTTCAAAGTGGGATTTATGCCTCTCTCACATCTAAAGGGCCTCAAGCAACTAGACACTTCAGTTAGGTTGCATGAATCTCCTCTCAATAGTGACCTCTTTCGGTTTATTGGCTCCCAGGGAGACTCAGAGTCGACTTCAGGGGAGCTAAAATTAAGTAATGGCTGAAGTTCTCAGGAAAACCCATTCCTTATTCATTTATTTTCAATGCAGTTTCCAGATGGAGTCAGCTCCATCCACAATTTGGAGGAAAAAAGGTACAGGTAGATCCAAAGTCCTGGGTGTAATTGGGACCACAGCAGAAGAGGTACCACATACTCAGAAAACTTCTATGGTCACAATGTTAGAAAGTATTAATATTTTAAAAAGGCAAGTGCTGTTATGTGTCCCAGGAAGCAGGCAGACCAGAAGCAGCAGCAAATCACACTTGTGTACCACACATCTTGACACAGGAGCCAACATGTGGTTCCTTACACAGATTTGTGACTTAATCTGCCTTCCTGCAGAGAATGCTCTGCTTCCTTTCAAACATCAATAAAAATGTAGCAGGAACTGTGTCAGAGCTGGCCAAGTATTCCCCTCCACTGCTTGCTGCTGTGTGACTCCTCCATACAGTCTGCCACTTAAGACTGGGTTTTAGACTAATTTGAAATACTAGAGACTGCAGGGGATATTTCCATATGAGATGTCATTTCTAGTCACAGTAAGAGCATTTTACATTGCCCTAAAAGGACAGGCAGACATCCCTGTAAACAAAAACAAGTTTGCTTTTATTTAAAGCCTCCTTACACTGTAAAGGAAATGCAAAACAATCTTTGCTTTAAAAAAGAATCATGACTTAATAAAATAGTGAAACAAGTAAGTGTATAAATAGTGGAAGCCATGGTGAAAGCAAGTATTTTGTGACTTAAATGCAAAGAGTGTTTACAAAGCCCAAACAAATGCAGAGAAACAGAGACTCACGGGCCCACTGCAAATAATGTGATCATTGCTTTTAAATGGTTACTATTATACACTACAGAGGAACATGAAAGCGGTAATCCTATCTCAGCTACACTGATACCAAAGAATCATAGAATATCTCAAGTTGGAAGGGACCCAAAAGGATCACTGCTTCCAAATCCCAAAGAAGAAACCTGCAAGGAGATTTAAGAATGGCAATACTTTAAGGATGTAATCACAGAATCACAGAACGTTAGGGATTGGAAGGGACCTCAAAAGATCATCTAGTCCAATCCCCCTGCCGGAGCAGGAACACCTAGATGAGGTTGCACAGGAAGGCGTCCAGGCGGGTTTTGAATGTCTCCAGAGAAGGAGACTCCACAACCTCTCTGGGCAGCCTGTTCCAGTGCTCTGTCACCCTCACTGAGAAGAAGTTTCTTCTCAAATTTAAGTGGAACCTCCTGTGTTCCAGCTTGTGTCCATTACCCCTTGTCCTATCATTGTCTGTCACCGAGAAGAGCCTGGCTCCATCCTCGTGACACTCACCCTTTAAATATTTATAAACATGAATGAGGTCTGAGAAGACAGAAAGTAAGAATAATAAAAACTTGCCTGTGTTCATGGACAGATGTGCTAGTGATATGCTACTAATTTCAAAAACAGCATGCAGTCTAAGAAGCAGGTACAGCTCCTCATAAAACAAGTTTTTCTCTAAGGGTGGGAGAGAAAGGGAAGATTTTCCTTAAATATCCTGCAAGCTAGAAGTCTCGTTTCAGCAAGATAGAACTTGATGAGAAGGATATAAGAGATTTGCCATACACCAGTTACAAGACTTGCAATACCCAATTTGACTCAGATTCAGACAACCTTAGAACTCGAGACCATTAAATCATCTGAAATCCAATTTTGCAGCAGATCTATGATACACTTCAAAGTCCAGATGTACTAAATTCAGTGTACATCCCTGCTTTTCTCCAATTTATTAGCATCACGGTTAAAATTGCTATTTCATTTGCACTGGGCTATGCTCTTGTCCTACTTTCCACTCTTAAGGTAGTGTTGCCCACCCAAAAGGATAAGAAAAATAACCATTAGCTAACTGCTTTCTTTCCTGTTCTACAGACATTGTTTGCAATCCTGTCCTTTCATCTGTTCCTACCCTGGGCCTAAGAGACTAATTAAAATCTTGATAAGGAACTTTCTTTTGCACAGCATATATGCAAGATGTTTGTTTAGTCACTAAGTTCAAACAGGAATAATCTTTGAAGTAATCTTTCCTTTTTTCTTTTCATCCTCTGCTTGCTTGATATTGGGACCCACTTTTCTAATGCAGGTGAGTAATTTGCATCTGCTAGGTTAATTTTGTGCAAAGTACACATTGGGATATTCTGATCTAATTTAAATATTTTATGCCAAACTTGGGCTGGGTGTTTCCTCATGACAGGAAGACTTCTGTAGATGAAAAGGTCTCTTTGGTGCTAATATTGTACATGCACATTGCGATACAAATCTGCACTGGAGGACATGAGCTGTAATTAAAGCTGAATTATGATACAAACTGGTATCAAAATTAGTCAGCCGAATGCTAAGAAACGCTATACAACCATTAATTAATCACACTCTCACTATATCAGTGTAATGCATTCAGCATCTAAGAATTTAATCTAATTTAATTGCATTTACTTTCATCTAGGAGAAGAGTTAATTTCCCTATGGTCTTGAGCACTGTTTTCCAAATTGTTGCTTGCAAACCTTTGAATTATCTCCAGGAATAACTCAAGGGTCCACACCTAGCAATTGAAACAAAAAAAGTCTGTGAGAATAGTAAAATTGTTACATAATCTGGACAATTTTGATGGAACCACAGTGAGCAAGATATTGAAATCACTGACCTAGAGAAAAGCACAGAAGTAGATGACTTGCAGAAGAGTTCTTCAGGAATCATCCAACACACAGAGGCTTGGTATTTCAAAGGAGCTTACATTTAAGTCTCTTTTGAAAATGTCATCCTAACACCTCACATGGGAGTGGACAAAAATAAACCCATTTTTCAGGTATGGATTAAACTGAAGGAGAGCAGTTTGAAAGCAGGATTTTAAGTGCTCAAAAACTGCATACATTTGTGGAACGGGAAAACATGAGTCACATTTATTGGATTTGGAAGATTAATGAACACTTGGATGTTCCTTGTGTACAAATCACACCTAAACTTCAGACTATGAATGACACAGGCAAGAAGCAGAGATCATAGCAAAGAATTTTCTAAACAATATAACTTCAAGTGAGTTTTGGAGCTTATGTCTGGATGATAGGGAGCTAGTGCTCCTCAAAGAGTTTAATTCACTAAGAAATTAATGAATTATCTTTTTAAAAGTTGTCAATAAATTTGCTTTTATTTAAGGAAAGGATTCTGGACTTTACAAAGGAGAAGGAGATAGAGAGACAAGACGGTACACTAGGTTTTATTCCTGGGGATTTTCCTACATCTTTGGCTGAGCAGGTAAGCAACACAAAGACATAAACCTTGTTTAGAAAATGAGGATCTTCTCCACATGAAATAATAATACCAAAGAATAAAATTAGGAGAAGAAAAGATGGAAATGACCTTATTCTAGTCTCTAAGATGTGGCTACTTTTGCTTGTATTTTCTGTACTTGTCTGATTCTTTGTGCAGGTTTCAGCTTTCAGCAGGTTTTCAGCTCCTGTACTGAGGTCAGTCTCCTGTACTCTTCTCCCTCCAGAGCATTTTGTACATGAATGTGTCTTCTAGTGTGCTTGCCACCCTCTAGTCTGGATGTCTTTCAGAAACTTGAAAGCGCATCAAATAGCAGTAGATAAAACTTTCAAAGAAAGTACAAAGTCAGCGAGCATAGTAGTGGTAGGGGAAGTGCAGAGGAAGCAGCTCTAAGCAACTCAATGTGAGCCACGAATCACAGCTTGAGCAGAGCTTTTTCAAATGAACTGAAGTTGACTCTCAGAGCACTTTCATTCTCCAGCACCCTGGAGATAACAATGCAGCCAAGGAATGGAGAAGAAAAATGGAGAATGCACCTGGATCCAGAGCAACTTGGACTCCTCCTTCCCTAAGAGACAGACTAGCAAGTATTGTTCATGGTGACAATGAGGGAAAATGAAAAGAAACTTCTTTATGTATATATTTTGAGAAAGTATTTAGCATCCAAATTTCATACAGAATATATTTGTCTCTGTTTAGCTAGAACCGACACAAATGACCAGTTTAGTTTCATGAAGCATGAATATGGCACTTTCTTCAATAATTTTAAAAGGGCAGGAAATTGATGTTGCTTTTCAAAATTTTTTTAAGAAACACTTTTAGACACTCAATTACTGCCATTCTTTTCAACATGTTATTATTGCTGAAAATCATTCATAAGATTCCAAGAAAATTAACTACCACTGGGTCTCAAAATCTCTTTCAGATGTTGCATGTGTAAAAATTGGCTGTTTGCTTACCTTAGATTTGTGATCTGATGTTAGTGTCTGAATTTTAATTTCCGTTTCTTTCTTCAATTCAAGACAATTACTTCCTCTAAAAAAAGGAAAATTGCAAATGTGTGCCACAAGTTAAACATCTTCCCATTCAGTCAGCTCTTACTAATTAAAATGTTAATCAAAGTTAAAGTGCTGTAGTGTGTTAGAATAGAATTATTTCTTCTGGCAATTTATTCACAACTTGCAAAATATTGTTGGAGTAATGATCATTCAATTCAAACTTCACTCGATTGGCCCAGCAACTATTCTGCTACTGGGGATACATCAAGGATCCCCATTTATGGTATTTGGTTCTCTTTCCAGGCTCAAAATACCCTGCCAAGAGAAACCAGTTTCTCCTGAAAACTTAGAGGCCTATTCATTGCCTTGCCATGATTTTATCCTCAGTATTTGAAGTAATTTTTGCTACCTTTTTTTTCAATAGGGCAGAGAAAAAGAAGTCATTTGAATAACTACCTCACTGGGAAACTTGGGCATATTAAATTTGAATGCCTATTGAAAGTGTAAGCCATTAGTTTCCTTACATGACTTGGAAAGCAAGAAATCTTGAAGATAGCCCTCAGTCCTGCAAAAAGCTGAATACAGCATGGCCTTTGTGTTTGGGTAAAGTTAATGGGCTTAAATGCAAGTTGCAAAGCTTGTTTAATGCAGGAGGAGTGCATGACTCTAAGGAACAGGTTGGTAAAATGTCTGCAGAGGACCCATGCTGAAGGTCCCCTGATGTGCCTCTGGGTTAGGAGATGGATGACTTCTACCTGTCACCCTCAGAACTTCTTTCTGTAAGCCAAATGACTTGGGCTGCACACTGGGTGGGATAGATGCACAGAAAAACTATTCCTTTGCAGTTACAAGTGGAATTTCAACTACTGTCTCACCAAAGTAATCAATTTTTGAAGAGTAAAAAGCTCCATCTTTACCAGTCTTCTTGCTCCCTTTTTTGGGGAGAGGTGTTTTTACAACAGAATACAAACACACACAGTGGAGATCTCTGTTGTTTGTTTGAGTTTTTTTTTTTTGCTTGGAATAATACAGTATATTGAAAGGAGACTGTTTTAGCATTACTGTAATATTTCTGTGTCAGATCATCCACTGATGTAAAATGGTTTAACTCCACTGAGTGGACGGAGCCACATTCATTTTTTCATCTGAAGCTGGTCTTAATAAGAATGGTTATTGCTTGACTGCAGTAACATTAATCCATATTTGCTCTAGAAAAGGAGATTTATGAAACTTTTTAACAAGTTTAAATCCTATTTTAATATCAAAGTAGTGCTAAACTTATGGAAATTAGCAGAAAGCTTTATCACCAGACAGTACCAGAAAACCCGTTACTGAATATAGCAGTGTGATGTGCCTTGTGTTCCCAAGGGCCACCAGAAGGACTAGTCATTTGTTCTCTAGTCATAGCGAAGAAATTTTTGTAGAGATTTCTAACACTCATTTGACACTGCAGAAGTAATATAAAGCCATAATGACAAATTCTGACCACTATTACCTCTGCCTGAAAAAGAAACAGCTGCAAAAAAAGTGTCTTTGATTATGCATGTGGGTAGCTGTGATCAGTCTGGCTACAATTCATACATGATTTGTCATACACCATGAAAGAGACTGCTCCTTAGATGAATCAAATATATTTTATCCCAGCTTAGTCTCATTGGCTCAATCACTAAACTTTTCAGAATCCCAGTAATCAAAACAACCAGCTGATCCCTTGTCTGGAAATGCAGCTTTCATTATATCTTGAGGCAACTTCCAGCCAGGCTAGACGTAACAAGGATTGGCCCAACTGCAGTGGCATACTCCAGGGTTGAGCCATCGAGTCACAGTTGGGAACAGATATCCAGGGACAGTCCAACCCAATGTCACATTTTCATGCTTATGCACACATATACACTTGAATTTCTGAACAGTCCAAATAAATCAGAAGGATCTTTATGCGCCCTCAACTCCATTTCAGAGTCGGAACATGAGCATACATGTCCCCATAAGCCTCTCCGAGATTTGTAAGCATCTGTACAACAGAAATAGCACAGGGAGCAAAGCCCTGTCCATCTGTCAGTGAATTAGCATGTGATTAAAAAATTCTACTTTGCTGAACAATATGCAGTTGACATTTGTCACACCATGTGGCAGAAATGGACCATGAAAAACTGCACAACAAAATTAGAAGAGAAAGTCTTCTATACACCTAGCAAAAAGCCTTTTTTTCATAAAATACCTGACAATTTCAGTATGAAACATTTTACATGTTCTTTTAAAACTTTTAATTCTTACAAAAGCTCCAAAGTGGTAGCCAAGGAAATGGAGCATGTCCTGTACTCTCTGAACCCAGGACCCCTTATTCATCAGATCATTTCAGCTGAATAAAGTCTTCAAGTCTCAACCAATGTGTTCACTTTTAAGCATGTTCTTAAATATACTGCACAGCTGGGGTGAAGAGAAATGTGTGAATAAGCACCTTGCTGAATGGGCTTTCAGGGTTGCATATACAATGACCCTGAAGGAAGCCTTGAAGACACTTTAATGTAAAATTAAAAAGTGTTTTCACAGAAAGTCTGTGCTGATACTGGATTTGATTTAGCTGTTAATTAGATACCAATAGTTATTCTTGTAACACTGAAGGGCTATGACTGAGAGCTCTGGGGTCCATGGAAATTACAGAGTCATGGCAAGGAACAGTATTTGGCTGTGTATTGGATCTGATTCTGGATAGTAATTTCCAACTTCTTTTTATTTAAAAAAAAACTGTTTATGATAATTTAAAACTTTCACAAAGGCTTTGGTGTCCACAAGAGAAGTGTTATAAAATTAAGACAAGACACTGCAAGTAGCCAATGATGTGATCTCAATGCAGGAATCAAATTATCAACTACTTTTATACTTGTCCCATTTGAGGTTACTCTGGAAAGCATTGTTACCCAGCACTTTCCACTATTTGCTGCAGAGAGTCAGCCATTACTACCTGTAACTTTATGACACATCTTCATTTACTGTTTTGCCTAGATGGGCAGAGGCACTGTCTTCTTCTCAGGTCAACAGGAATACTGATTCATGACTCTTCTGATATGAGATTCTTAAATACCAGAGCAAGAGGAAACCTTTCTGCCCCCACAATAATTACAGTGTCCAGGGCTTACTTCACTGCCACTGTAGTAAATACCCTGACTGTAATTATAAATCCAGCTATATCAGTAACCTTCTGCTGCATTATATTCAGTGGAAATTGAATCAAAGCCACATTAATTAGTCCTGTAGTTGTTCCCTCTCTGTTTGGAGAAGTAGTAATTTTCTGGAAGGAACGTGGATTAGAAGTATTTGGGAACTTTTCTTGGGTGGTACTTTCTCTTTTCTTGGACAAAAAAAACAACCAACCAACATCAGTTTTTTAAAGAGTTTGTGAGCTTTTAATGATTTACTGAGGTGAATTCTCCTTACCTTGTTTACTTCTGGCAGTTCTGTTCTGTTGCAAGTTATAACATGCACACTCAAAAACAAATGCCATTCCAAATAATTAGTAAAACAAAAAGTATTTGTGGAAGAATCCAATGCCAAAGAGGCATCTATATTTAATATTCAGTGAGTGAATTGGTTGACAGTTGTTGCCAGGTGACAACAATATGAAATTAAGAGTAACTACTGGCATAGCTTGATTTAGAGCTAAACAAAGTAATTCCTGCTTTAGGTCACAGTATTACAGTATAAACCACTGTCTCAATGAAATGCCAGTCATAGGGTGAGAGGTGGAGAGGAGAAACTGCTGCCAGATTACACAACAGCAGCATGGCAACAGCGGGTCCTGCTACGCAGTTCCAAATGGGACTGTAAGAGGGAGGTTTTGTTAAAATTACCAGTATGCTGCAGGAACTTTTCTGGGACAATTAAGAGAGTCACACAGATAATGTCCCAGGCCATCAGCTAGTGCAAACCAAAACAGCTTCACTCAAGTGAAAGAAGTAACACAGATTTATCCCAGCTGAGGACCTGAAGAGGTTTTTTTGGTTAAAAAGAAACTTCAACTTGACAGCACAGCAAAACACTATTATTCTAAAACATTCAAGATTTAGAAGCCTGTTTTTTCCTTAAAATCAAATCATTGCTACTTTCTGGTCATTAGAGCTACTGACCTTAGTCTGCTCTCACTGAACATTCCCTGGGGAATGCAGTGAGAACAGATCAGACCACGGAAATGAAAATTTGAGGCAAATCCTCTGCTTTTACTTTAAAAACTCTGATAGTAGAAGACTATAGAAAGGCAAAGGAAGTACAACATTAAGGTTCACTGGTAGAGCCTTCGAGCAGCTCATACTCAGTTTGATGAGTAGGATGCTGATTGAAGCTGCAATTCATTAATCTGAATGACCTCTTAATGAATGTTTTATTCCACATAAAAGCATAAAATCTATTTTAAGTCTCAAAAAAATTAAAATAATCTTACCCCTTCTTCTTGATTGCCTTCTCTAACATTTTCTCATATGATACCTTCTCTTTATCATATTGTGCCACTACTTTGTCAATTTGTGTACAGTGCAACTTCTGCATAGCGCTGTGCTCCTGGAAAACAGTAGGACCTTACAATTAGGTTGCTGGATTTTTAACGTTTAGTTTTCTCACAACGTAAAAATATCAGTATATGAACAGGTAACTTTGACAATGGAATTCAATCTGGTTTAGACATCTGGTATTAAAGGTTCCAGATATGCCACCATAAGTGCTAAAACATTTCTTCTTTGCTTGAAAAATGAAAATCTGTAGTGGACCTTAAAAATACGGTATACCTTAAAACAAAAGAATGAAGGGAAAGACTTCATTTTTTTAAATAGATGTCCACTTAAGTGCAATGTAAAAAATCAGATTTACAAGCTCAGATCATATAATTCATTTTTTGAATGGAGAGAAGAACAAAACTCAACCCAGTTCCTCCTTCCGCTATGTATCTCATACTAAATACAGTTCTAGTCTCTTGGCCACTGCAAATCAAATATCTTAAAATCCAAACATTAACTACAAATCAAATCATTAACAACTGACATTCTAAAGATCTGGCCCATGAGCCCTAATAATAGCAGCAACCTTATAATTAAGAAATTCCACCTTGTTGCAGAGCATCGCCCTTTGCAAGCGATTGTAAGCTGTGCAATATGACTTTTAACTCCACATGCAGACTGCAAATAACCACTGCCCTGTTCCCCTCCACACCCCAGTGCAGCAGATGCTGATAAACTGGACATATATGAATCATAAAGTCATTTTGTTGGAAAAGACCTTTCAAAGATAATTGAGTCTGACCATAACCTGTCCACTAAACCATGTCTCTAAGCACCTCATCTACCCATCTTTTTATCAATCTTTTTATAGGGCTACTTTTGAAGTACTACACATCAATGCAAACCTGCTGTCACTACTATAGTTATGTGGCTTACATTGGTGAAGTGGCAGAGGAGGTTATCTATGGAAGGGGAGGAAAAAAATGTTCCTATGATGAAAAAATGAATCAGTAATCCATGTTAGACATGGGTCTAGCATACAGAGAATTCCTTTCCATTACATGATTGAACCAGAAACAACACAGTGCTTACATGTAGACTTCACTAATGAACTTGACTTCATTCTCTCTTTTATCAGAACAGCTGCTCATAATGATGCAAATATTTAGCTACGATGGAGAGCACTAAATACTGAATTTACATGACAATGTGTTTATTAATTTGCATTATTTTATTAATACCCAATTGCTCTGCATTTTATCTAACTGTGACAAAAAGCCTTGCATTAACTAATATGGCTTCTTCCAGGACTTTATCTACATTTTGTTGTTTAGCTAATTTTATATTCATTCTACCTTCCCTAATCTACTGCTCTTTGTTTTTTTCTACCTACCTGCGTTTACCTTATCACTGTTTCTTACTCTAAAAATATTAACTAAAGACTTCTACATTCTCTTTTACTAACACATTAACACAAATATTGTTGTGATGCTTTTAAAAATCTAGCCCTGGGCTGTACCTAAGTGCTCCAACATCTGCGAAGCATTTCCCTGGGGAACACCTACAGCTTCCAAATTTTGTCTTTAGAGTGGGGAACTGAATTTTCTGTTTGACAATGGATTTACAGGGAACTAAACAGAGTCCATCAACATTAAAACATGCCAGCTTCACCAGGGAGTATTTACACTGACTAACTAGGTAGGAAAAAACATGGTCAGTGAAAAGAATGACATAAGCTTGACAGCACCAGCCAGCCAAAGGTAAAGTGACTGAGAGAATCTCTCAGACTACCCACTCTCCCCTAGATGAACAGAACAATATAATTCCTGTTATAAAAGACTAAGTGCAAACATTGAAAAGCATGAGATATCTGCTCACTCATGTGACATCTCTCCACAATCTGGGAGGGCACATCATGTAGACCTAGATTCCCTGCTTTTCCCTCAAGACAACCATGATTTATCACAAACCCACTGTAATCTTTTGCAGACTGCCCTCTACTGCTACTTACTGCTCATGCACAACTCTATGTTGTATCTGAAACAGATCTACTGTGGACCATATCCTCCTCGTTTCCTTCCCTGGTCCTCCTCCTGATCCAGTTCATGGAACAAGCATTTGTTTGTGCACAATATAAATGGAGCTGTAAGAGGAAAATGGGCTACTAACAACCTCCACAGGCAAGCCACAAGGAGTACTAGGAGTTAACTCCCTACCATAGGTCCCTTGAATTATATGACTTTCAACCCCTGAACACACTATTTAACATGGATTAGGCCGATACGAGTTTGGTTTTCAGTCTATGCTCAAAGGAAAATTCATCACAGCTGGATGCTGCATCCCAAGCTTATGTCAAGATTCTAAGAAATATGAGTGGTTTCACAGCATCTTAAAACACCCTCGTTATATTTTGCTTTCAGATGCAAACAAAGTTTCAGGTGGAAATGCATGGGAATCAAGATTCTACATTTATGCCGAATATGTTTGCAGATAAAACTGTCGTCAGCTAGGGGTGTCATGACTTCCTCAAGTCCACTGAATTTGCAGTTTGAATTCACATGGCTTTTACATGAATATATTAAAAAATTACATTTAATGATTATATTACAAATAGAAGCCACAGTTCAGCCAAGGTTCTGAGAGGCCACCTAATATAAGAAGACTCAAAACACAGCAAGACTATAAATGGAAAAAAGTAAAGCATTATATATAGTTCCAATAAAGAGGGGAGTGGGGGAACAACAGATGGAAATCACAATTCAATCTACTGAAGGGAAAAGGAAGTAAGTTCCTATGATACAAACTGTTATTACTGCCAGGCATTTCCCTAAAGCAACACGAATACTCCTGTGCACAACTGAAAACTGAAATCTGGAGGATTCTCATTACAGAATAAGAAAACGAGGAAATAAAGAAAAAGACACTATAATTTCTAAATCAACAATCCATTTTGCAGAACTTGACTAATGTAGAGTTCCACAGTGGTTTGTACTGTCACTTTTGTGTGATAAAATTGAGATTTTTTTTAATGCTCTTTTTTACTAGGCTTTATTTCGAACATGACGTATATTCAATGTTCATATAAATGTGCAGGAGATGAATTCTGGAATTTATATTTTTGGGTGGCAATTATGCAATTCTGGTTACTGTCTATGGCCATATCAAATATCCTAAGGGGGCACTTGTGACTCTCACCATCTTGTCTGAAACTGCTAGAACTGTATACTAAAATCATCTGTTGTGCTGTTGACTGTTAGACAATATATCAAAATAACCCCTCACTATCCTTCCTCTTCTGTCTAACCCAAGACAAGAAGAAATGGCCTCATGTTGCACCAGGTGAGGTTTAGATGAGATATGAGGAAACATTTCTTCACTGAAAGGGTTATCAGCGATTAGAACAAGGCTGCCCAGGGAAGTGGTCAAGTCACCATCCCTGGAGGTATTTAAAAGACAGGTAGATGAGGTGCGTAGAGACATGGTTTAGTAGTGGACAGGTTATGGCTGGACTTGATCTTAAAGGTTTTTTTCAATCAAATGATTCTATGATTAAACAGCACAAAAACTATGTGACACACCTGCAAAATATTAAAATTCAGTAGAGGCCCATAGAAGCAGCCTGCTAACAGATGAAATCAGTGACTGAGACTCTCATATATGCACACCTCCTTGCCTTTACAGCCCATGTCATCCCAGATCATTTACATAAACTGTACTCAAGATCTAACTTGATAAAAAAAAAAGAGATAAGCCAATGGACATCATTCAGACACATCAGCCATTCTGCAGTTGCACAGTAATATTCATACTGGGAGATTAAAGTTACTTCAGGGAATGTAGGGAGGAAATACTTTATTTCAAAAGCTGCCCAGTGTAGGTGTTTTTATGAATGCATTGTTTAAAGAAAAACATTTCTGCAATATGCAGAAGTGGCTGGACGTATTATTTTAAAAATCGTAAAATCACCCAGCACAAAGGTTACAGATCTAAGATTCAGAGAAAGTTATTCCTAACATAGATTTTTTTAAAATGGTGATCATTACATTAATTTGCCACTGTTTTTCAAAAGTCAAACAAAATTAATAGTACAGCATTGTTGGTTGATAGTTTGTAAAATGAGTGCCACTACAAAAGTATTCTGCTTTGCTTGTTGGCAGTCCTGTCTACTGGTGTCAAAAAGGTGCATTTCATATGCCTGGATTTTAAACAGACTCACTCACTCCTTGACAGGGACACTTACTCAATTTTTCCTCCCCCTGTCCCAGCTTATAGGACCACCTTTGCTTATTGTCCAACAGATGACAAAGAATTTGCCCTGGAAGTTAACTACAAAGATTTACATATAACCTTTACAACAAGTCTCCCCCTAAAAATTACTGTATTTCTCAAGACATCATCAAAGAAATCTGTGTTAGTTTCCCACTCCTTGGCTCTTTTCCCCCATTTTTAAAGAATGGTGTCCCACATTCTTCACATATCTGGTGAACCAACACTGTCTTCTCATGGTGATCTGTCTCATTCCAGATTCAGAATGCCCTGAAAAGTGAAACTAGTTCACAATGCGAGTAAATGGGCTGAGTTTTGGATCATGTTTTTTGTCTACAAGAGCAATCATCTGTTCTTCAGCAATCCCAACAGCAACACAATGCTACCCCTCAGTCATACTGATGCAGACTCACTTTTTCAGAGACTAAAACAGCTTGGAGAATATTCACTGTGGCCCCTTCAACTCTCTCTTCCTTCATAGCCAGGCCACAAACTATGCAGAGGATTGGGTTAGAAAACTAGAGGCAACAGCTCTGTTGCAGAACTGAATGGGTTCTTCTGAAGTGGAGAAACTATACTTGCACACTGACTCTGAAACTAAACCTGCTGTGAAAAACTGACACTCCAGAATTCACTACAGTTTATCCTGCCTTTAATTTCTACTTGTTCTATTATTCCCTTACAGTCCTTCAGGATTTATTTAAAAGTATTGTCCTGTCTTTGCAGAGCTTTATATATGTACCTTTTTACATGATTCTCCATCCTGAGTGAAATCCCAACTTTCAAGTATTCATAGACTTTGTGAAATCCACAATTTGCATTTTTTGCAAGCCACTAACCTGACATTAGGAAAAGGGCAAATTTATCAGTCATAGACTGGTTGCCTAGTAATGGGAATACCAAGAACAGTGGTCTTCCCATCAATCTAATGATCTCTATCCTACTTGGACTAGAGGTCTTATTTTTTCCTATACAAAAGTGAAAAAAGGAACAGTGAAGGTTGTACCTCCTGCTGCCCAAACATCCCTCTCAAAACCAGATTAGTAACAAAACCCTGTGTCTGTATATTGGGTATTATAGCTGTAAGGAGCTATGTCATGTAGGAAAAACAAACCAGTGATAATACACAGAGGGATATTAGGAGAATGCTATCATGGCTGCTGGAGTCACAATGGCTGAAACACCAAAGAGAATTAAATAAAAAGAAAGATAGCACCAAAGAAATACATAGAGAGTGTTGCATCCTGAAAAGATTCGCACCTGTTATTTTTTGTATTAATCTGGAAATGTGGTGGCTGTAATAATCCTATATCCTGCCAAAACTGAGACTGATGTGTTTTCATGCAAAGCAACCAACCTCTGTCAGCCAGCATTTCACAGTGGCTCTGCTAATACTTTTCTACACTGAGTGGATGCTGCCAGTAAAAGGGATCCTTACTGCTGTCATCTTCCTTAGCTAGCTCTGACTCAGATCAGGTACTACACTGATCAGAGCTCCTTCCTCTCAACCTGTTATTCCTCTCAACTTCTTCCACGCTTGCATGCATTCATTTTTCGTAATGTATTTTCCAAGGCAAATTTTAGATGAGAAAGTATTGGACTTTTCTTTCCTTAAACAACACCATTAATTCCCTTCTGTTTACTGTTACTGTTCTGTTATGGTTAAATGAGAGCCAACATATTTCTGGAACTTTTAAGTTCAGTCTGCTTAATAAAAAGGTTTCCTTAAGCTGACTGTGGAAAACTAACAGCACAACTCTCCTGCTTGACCCCAGCCGATAAAACGCTTTGAAACCAGTGATGAGTACACTAAGCACCTCCTTAAGATCATCTGTGAGCTAATATGGCCACACTGATCTGCTCAGACTCTCTTCAAATGTAAGAACTTCCCCTTACTGAAGCCTTTAGCAAGGGATGCTCAAGACAGGCACTTTCTTGTTAGGACAGACTTGCACTCTGTACTTAAGACCAGTCAGCAGGGGACAGGCTGGCTCACACCTAAAATAGCTGTGCTTGAGCTCATGCTGAAAGCCCTTCTGAGTGCACAGCATTTGCGGACTGTGGCTGGCAATTTTTCCCTCAGATTAGAGGAAGTAAGTGCAAGCTGGAATCACAGAATACCAGGTTGGGAGGGACCACAAGGACCATCTGATCCAACCTCTCAAGGTAAAAGTATAGTTTAAATGAGATGAGTCAGCACCCTGTCAAGCTGACTCTTAAAACTGACCAATGTAGGGGAATTCACCACTTCCCTTGGGAGATTGTTCCAATATCTAATTGATCTCATGGTAAAAAAGTTTCTTCTGGAGTTCCATCAGAATCTCTCCAGAAGCAACTTGTGTCCATTACCCTGCATCTTCTCCATGTGACTTCTTGTGAAAAGGGAGTCTCCATCTTCTTGATAGCCACCCTTTCCATACTGGTACATGGTAATAAAGTCCCACCTAAGCCTTCTCTTTGCAAGGCTGAACAGGCCAAATTTTCTCAGCCTTTCTTCATACGGCAGGTTTTCCAGTCTTCTGATCATCCTTGTATCCCTTCTCTGGACCCCTTCCAACCTGTCCACATCTTTTTTGTATAGCAGGGACCAAAACTGGACACAGTACTCAAGGTGTGGTTTGACCAGTGCTGAGTAGAGAGGAATAATGACTTATTTATCTCTGCTGGTGAAACCCTTTTTAATGCAACTTGGCATCCTGTTGGCTTTCTTCACAGCTGCAGCACAGTTTGCTCATGTTGAGCTTGTCATCCACCAAGACCCCCAGGTGCCTTTCCACAGGGCTGCTCTCCAGCCGGGTGGAGCCCAGTCTCAGATGCATTCTTGGATTATGTATTCCCAGATGCAAGACCTTACATTTGTCCGTGTTGAACTTCATACGGTTCCTGCTAGCCCACTCATCCAGTCTGTCCAGGTCTTCTTGGAGGGTGGCTCTCCCTTTGAAGTGTCAAATACGCTACTCATTTTGGTGTCATCAGCAAACTTCATCAGGGAGCTCGCGATCCCAACATCCAGATCACTAATGAAGATATTAAATAGTTTTGGGCTCAATATTGATCCCTGAGGGACCCCACTTGTGACTGGTTGCCAGTTAGAGAATGAACTACAACCCTCTGGATACGGCCCATCAGCCAGATCCCCACCACTTATCTACATTGTGGTTTGTCATTTTTTCAAGGAGGAGGCTGTGGGGGACCATGTTGAAAGCCTTGGAACAGATGGATCAATTTTTTAACATTAGCAAGCACAGTCATGGCTAAGATATACTACTGTAGGTCACATATATCAATGACATAGATAATTCAGTATGGCTGTTTTCTATGTAACCATGGTACCATTTTCACTTGCAAAAAAGCTGCTATAGAAAAATGCTGGATGTTGCTCAATGAATGAGAAAGTAGTGTTTAAAAATAAGAAGCCATCTAAAACATTAGTCCTTTGAAGGTCTAGAAGTTGTCCATGCCCAGAAGTGTGGATGACAGATATTTTTTCTCGAGCATGGGCTTTGTACACAGCACTAAAATGGAAAAATCACCAATTTCCCTTCTGCATAGAGTCAGTAAGAAGTTTGAAATGTAACTATTTAATTTTCTTATACTACTTTTAATACTAAGAGCCTCACAAAAATGCCAGTTATTGAACGTAACTTCTTCATACTTCACTGTACAGACAAAGACTCACACTCAAACTATAGTCAGGAAAATAAACACAAAGACTGATATTAAAAATGCCCAGGCAAATACATTATGTCAGATTTGCAACAAAATACGCAGTCAAAGAGAGCAAGGGAATAACTGCCCCAAAAGGCCAGGAGGGGTTTGTATGTATTGCAAAAATTCAGAACTTAGGATACTTTCTTCACTTGTTAGGCCTCTTTCTGTAACCAGAGTAATGATTTTCTTATGATAAAGGGCAGGAGAAAATTTGCTGTGATTTTCTAACATAAAGTATATTTGTGATAGTGTTGTATGTACTGGCGACATCAATGCCAACATTACCAAGCAAAAACCTGGCTATGAAGTCTTTAACAAAAGTGAGGAGGAATAGGGTATTCCATTTTTCAGTTACATATTCCACTTTTCTTTGGCAATTTTGCAGTTTCTCCAGTGCCTGCCTTCAATGCAGCACCCTCTCACAACATTACTGCCTTTTTTTCAAGCTGCCTGTCAATATGTCATGCAAGAGGGAGCTTGATAAAATCATTATTTGAAAAAGGTGAGCTTTGGATGCTTATATGGGTCAAACAAATGAGCACCAAAACTCAGGGAGACATAGAAAGGGTTGTTAAATGGAAAATTTACTCACTGGTGCATATTTCAGTACACTTGAAACACATGCCTTTCTTGGTTGTGCAACTACTGTTCCTTACTTTTTCCCTTCAATTTAATTAGAAGCTGTCTGTGCTAGGGAGCGCTCCAACTCTTCAATTAGAGTGTGTTGCTGAGAGCTCTTAATGATCATACCTTTGCATGTTTCTTCTTTAAGGCATTCAGCTCTTTCTGCTGTTTCTTTAAATGCTTTATATAAGCCTACAAAAAGAGAAGGTGGATCAATTTTTCTGCGGTCGTATTGACTTTAACCAGATAAATCCTGGCTGCTTAAAACAAATAATTAGGAATATATCTTGAAAAGCTTGTGTCCATACTTACCTTCATTTGCTTTAAATCTTCTATCTTCACTTGAGGAATAAGGTCTATACCTAGGAAGGTATTGGTACAGTTTATCTAAAATTTCATACATACTAGTATATTTCATACTTTTTAATTTTAGTTTTACCACAGAAACCTACACTTAAGTTAGAAATAAATTAATGTTTTTCATAACATAAAAAATAATCACAGGTTAATGAGAAAATTATTCATCAAGACATAGCAAAGATACAGTTAATTTCCTTTGCAAATGCACTGTTCAATAGTCTTGTGAAAAAATAAATTAATCTGTGAGTGTATTTTCATCTCACAGTTCTGGACTGAAGTGTCAAAACACAGCAACCTAAGAACTGAAGAAGCTCCTTTTCTCAAAACACAGCAAACGATTTATGTACATTGAAACTGAACCACACAAACTTCAGAATTTTGGTCCATAGCTGGAGATTGCACTGTCACCACTCATTTCAGGGGGGATGCTTCTTCAGTAAGATCCTACATGACTGCATAAAGGGTTAACTGAGTGTAAGTATACGTCTCAATTTAAAACACAAAAATCGCGTGTGTGAAAATTTACACGCAGTCCACATGTTAATGGAGGTAAAATTTGACTGTGGTTAATACCAGTCTATGAGAAAAGAAGCAACAGTACACACCAAGACTAAAGGAGTGTTAAAAATGGAGGAGAAACACAAAATCATAAGAAGTGAAAATTCTAATGCAAATTCAATACAACACACATATCTATCATAGAAGACTAGCAGTACTATTTAGATGAATGAAAATATATTTTGATCACCTTAACTGTAATGCAAACAAAACCCAATCTCATCTTTATACTTTCATAAATGTTTTGCAACATACTATGATTTTTTAAACTACTAAGCATATCCTATATGTAATCATTAATAAAGTGTCTATACAATGCCATGAGAGCTGTAATGTGTAGGCTTTTTCAGAGTTTTCACACAAAATCATTCAGATGTTCATGAACACACTGCAAACATATTTTGTTAACAACTATTAATAGTGTCTGTGGACTGTAAGATTCCCCCTGCCCTTTAATGTGAATTTAAAAGAAAAATATACAGATGCTGTAAAAGAAAAAAAAAGGGAGAGGTAGGCAATCTACTGAGGTAACAAGATTTTTTAAATTTTCTTAGCACCGTAAGATTCTGCTCAATTATATGGTATTAATATTAGTCTAGTAAATGAGACTGGAACAGATTTAGGGACAGATAAATATAGAGGTTGAAGTTTTAAAAAACAAATCACTCAGCTATTACTGAAAGTCAGAGAACAGAAAATCACAACATATTTGTGCATTTGAAAGCTTTCCCAAGACACCCTATCTTGCTGGATATGTAATTTCTAATAACAAGGTGAGTTGTATATTGTAAGAATGGTAGAATTATTTGGATCTTAAAAGATCCAAGAGATAAGTAATATAAAATAAGGGTCATTACATGGGATATAAAAATGAACAGCTCTATTTTAACATGTGAGAATATGGATAAAAGTGTTTGCAGACAAGAATGCACAAGTACTAAAATCTCAGCCTTAAGACCAGGGCTGCATCAGGTGTGCTGTGTTCCATTTGTGTAAACAAACTTCCTCAGCATTTTTTTAAAAACGCAGACTCACTTACTTTGTTCACCAGGTCTGACTCCATGGCCACCGGAAATAGTTGCCAACTCCAACAGATTTCATGCCTAATTAATGCACAATAAATCTAATACTTGCGCATCATGGTGATGGTACATGAAATATGAAAATGCCTCACTGCACAAAATAATCTGGGTTTTATGCCAGGGAAGAACTTTGAAAGAGTTCAAGTGTCAGAGGTGATCTGTTTCACTGCCAAAAGTGACTCCAGAGAAATGGCATCTTGTTTCTCACACATGTGAGAGCAGATGTTCTGCCATGTCTGCTCCTTTTCACTCCTATCAATCCCTTTGGGCCACCATGGATGAAAAGAGAGTGAACCAGATTCTAATTCTTGTGGCCCATTAACAGACATATTTATTGTGTTTCATTCAGTTGTTCAATTTTGTTTTCTCACTTAATCATCACAGGTAATGAAGATGAGAAACAATCCCATTTGACTCTATAAGATTATATTTTTCTCTGAGAAACAAATAACCCCATTTGACTCTGTAAGATGATATTGTAGAGTGAACAGTGAATAGCAAGGAAAAAATACTCACTTATAAATTAGAACATTTAATATGGATATTTTTTACAATAAATACGCTATTTCCATAATCACTATTCAGAGTATAACCACATATTGAAAACATTTCTAATTGTTGGGAAATCTCTAAAGAATCCAATGAATTCTAAATACCTTTAATTACTTAACTCTGCAACTCTGCCAAGGGATTTGTGGAGGGAGGAAAAAAAGGCAGAAGAGTTTCTGTGGAGTATACCAGAAATGAGTCATTCCAATCAGCATTCCTCCAGTGGATCTTTAGTAAACTACTCCCAGAGTCATGCAGGTTACTACTATTGGCACTAGGTTTAGTGTATAGCTATATAAAGAGGTCACTTAGTAAAATACAGCTGCATTGGCTTTATACAGCCATTTTAGTAATAGACAACCTTTATCTGCAATTAGACAGAGACCACTCTCAATGGCAAAAGAAGTTACCTTCTAAAAGAGTAAGAACGAATAGAACTGCAAAACTAAACTTGAGTAATGAGTACTTCTTTGTGACTTTCTGAATTGCTTCAGAACTGAGAGAGGGGCATGTGATTTTTGTCTACCTTTTTTAGCATCAGTCCCAGATCCAAAGCCTGCAGTAGTACTTGGTCGAAGTTCAGAGCTACTCTGAGGTGTTACATTTGCTTTGGCATTATTGGCTTTTCCTTTCCTATCATTCTTTGAAGTGTCATTTGGTACATCAGCTATATCACTCTGAAAGAAACATTCACAACATAATAAATTAATTGTTGTTTACGTATAGTATAAAAGTTGAAGTATGGGAAATTTCTGAACTTGCTTACTTCAAACATAATTAAGAAAAGTGCAACCTACTTTCAAACAACACTATACTCATTAAAGTATTTGTAAAGTATTTTAAATGGCTACCTATTAAAATATGGCTCCTTTCTAATTTCTCAAAATTTCTGCTTCAAAGGGTTGTGTTAGTATAATCTGTGAAAAGTCAGGAAGTGAATGGTATTTCAGAATATGTTAACTAAGATAAGCCAATGTATCTCAGAGCAGGACAAAGAGGTTTGTGTTTGAAAATGGGAAGTGATAAGGCAACATACATTGATTTGAAAAGGACCAGTTAACTTTAAAAAAGAACATAGTATGAATATAAATGGGCTATGTTTGTCAGTAAATTCTACTTACAGTTTCAATACCCATAGCTCTCATTTGGTCTGCTCTTTTTTCTGTGATAGACAAAAATTTCTTTGGGTCTGATAAAGCATCCACAATATCTGTAAGAAAAAATAATCAACTTTTTACGATCTTCAGAGGCATTTAGAAATTAATCTTCTACAAGAGCTTCATTCTACCCCTGTTGTTATGAGCCACGGCTTGCAACAACAGTTCAATTTCCCGTCATGAACTTGGCAGGATTGAAAGCACTCACCACAACAGTGCTTGAACACACTAGGAACATGAATCAGTTTACAATGCACCAAGAGAGCGGTATTAATCCAGGTACCTTATTTAGGAAAAAACACACTGACTCCATCAGACCAAAGCTTCCATAACTTATTCCCAGTTGGTGACATGAATTTGAGACCAGAATAGGATTTCCTGAGCCACAAAACACTAACAACTTTGTCTCTTTGTTTCTCAATGGAGTGCTGACTGACTTCGGACTGCAGGGAATTGCAGAAAATGTTTTTTGTATTTCCAAGCTAAATAGCAGTTTCAGATGTGTGGTTAAAATAATCTGGGAAATCTGCTCTCACTCACCTTTGTAATGCTTCATGTCTGGAACATGACAGGCTGTGAAATGGCTTTTCTATGAACCATAATGACAAATATTTGAATCTTGCACATGAGTGGTACCAAAGCCCTATCCAGCACCGGATATTGAACAGATTATTGAATGAGTTTTCCACATGCAGTGATAAATGTGCAAGCATAGGTTTACAGGAAGACAAAGACACACAAATAATTCCTTTCCATTCCAACAGTCAAAGAATTCACATATGGCAAAGGATGCCCTCCAGAACAAGAAACTGTTTTACAAATTAAACTGACTGGGCACCTAGAAAAAGAACGCATTCAGAGACCACAGCAGTGATCTGTTTCTGTGATCTCTCTGAAACTTCAGTATTACTGATAAAAGTGTAACTGGTCACGATTAATAAGCTTTCCTTGTCAGAGCAGTAACTTAAGAAAAGAAGTTTGAATGCTGCAGCCTGGCTGACTGATCATTCACTACAAAATACTGTCCTCTAATTAACTCAGATTTTTTTGTCACAACTGTTTGGAGGTCCATAGACAGCACTTCACTTGCAAGGAAGCTGTTTTTCTGTAGAAAGTTGCAAATCCCTATATTTGGCTGCTTATGAGTAAAAGATAAATGCTTTTGCACCCTTATATTCAAGATGGTCTCGCTAGTGTAATAGGCCACTATTTCTGCAATGACAGTTTTGACACTCAGTTTTCACAATAATTTGAATTTTGCCCATGTTTCATGCCATTTCTTCAGCCATTTTCCAAGTTAGCTTACAATGATGCAAGACAGAGAAGCTAGTCCACTGACCAGGTCTGTAAAAATATCCAACTCATCAAAAGCTCTGGGAAGAAATTTGCTATCCTTCCTGTGCAAACTAGGGGCTGGACTATATAATCTCCCTTCCAACCCAAGTTGTTTTATGAAAAGTTCCTTTGAAGTCACCAGATGCATTTCTCAAGCAAAAAAAAAGCACAGACAGGGCTCCCATTCCAACAAAAGTTGTATTAAATACATAGCATAACCCTTGACAGATCTGTTTATCTACACAAATAGGTTGTCTACAATAAACAGTCATGACCCAATGATATTTTTGAAACTCACATCATGTACACAAAAACCATGTAGAATTTATTTTCAGTCACAAAAAAAGTCTTGTAGCTGAGCACTGACATGTTTCCCCTTTCCCTAACTTGGTGAGCATGTCTTTTTGTCCTTGGCATGCACTCTTCAACGAAAATCCAGGACTACCTTGCTAACATGATGCGTCATTTGAAAATGGAACCTGATTATCATGCGCTTCAAGACAAAAATGACTAACATATCTGGGAGAGCAAGACCTTTGCAAATTGTATTACTAACCATACAAGCACATCACCAGAGGCTCAGCGTTTCTACAAGGGGAATGTGACTCATCACTACTTCTCACATTGTCCTTTCTCCTCTGCTTACGTTTTTCTTTCTCCCCAGTGATGTAAGGCGGGGGTGGAGAATAGCATTTTGTAGAAAAATCGCAATTAAATATAAAACTAGGAAAATCACTGAGAGATTACATTACAAAGGACTCCAACCACTAACCTAAGTAGCCATGCTTACTTATGTATAGACTTCTATTACAGAAGCTTCTCTTTGGAGAATGCCATTTCATTTGCACTAATTCACACCAGTATTGTGTTTTATTTGGAACAGAGTAGCTGATGCAAATAAACCATAAGAAATAACTAAGTTATATGAAAAATAAAATTATGAATCTTTTAAAGCCTACAACGCATTACCCATTCTAGTTATTATTCAGTGCAAGTTTTTAAATCTTACTCATACATGTTAGAAAAAAAATAAATAAAAAAAGAAAATAGTCAGCTCTTGAATTGAGCTATACCTTCCTACAGGTTTGCTAAAACAACCATGGAGATCCTAATGACAGTTCACGAAACAATGAGGTTCACTGCAGATGACAAGTAATTAAAAAAACACATGCCAACAGAATACTTAATCATTCCACCTGAGTGTCAAAAAAATACATGAGACACATCAAAACTGTCTGGGAAGGGAAAGGAAAACTAATAATTGAACTTATTTAGTTCATGTTAAAATTGAGTCTGTTTTTCCCAACACTGACAGTAAGCTACGACAATCAGTTCTCTCATTCTAGTAGCATTTTACCATAATGATACTGTTACTTAGGGGTAGTAATGTTTTTACATGTCCTCACCTCTACCAGAAAAACTTTTCCTATCAATGCTGACAACGTAGTAGATCAACCAGCACTGAACTGCACACAATTTGCATATTCTAAACTGATATTCAAATTATCTTCAAAAAGAGTCCTTCACTTCTGACTTTGTATACTGTAGTTCAAAAAAGTGTAGTTTAAAAGCGTGTGTGACCCACACGCTCAGCTGCTTGAACCACATCAAACTTTCCTAAGTTTAAATTCTACTCTTAGAAAAAGTGGAGTATCATTCAGAAAAACATCAATCCCAAATCACAAGTATGTCCCTAGTTTAGAAAATATTTTAACTCAGTCATTTACTGTCAAAAGCTTAAGTTCAGGAAAGAATTAAAGCACATGCTTAAATGTGTCCCTTAGATTCATGGTTCAACTACTGCCTTGAGGATCTCAAGCTTAAGCAGAAGTTTACATTGTCTCAAGACAGAGTTGCTGAAGTTCAATACTGTAGATAAAACACATTGCATAAAGGAATGGTAGTGCTCCAAGACCTGTGGCAAAACTTCAGCTGACTTGCCAACAACGAGGATTTCACATATGAACAACACAAACAGTTATGTAAATGCTTAACCTTTTCCATGAAATACTGAAACCGAAGTCTAGGCTTGTTCATTGTTTAAAAGCCTGGTTAAATATCAGCAGAGTCTTGAAGATACATTATCCAGTATTTTAGGTAAGTTTTCTCTTTCTCCAGTTTGTACTATGGAAATTACAGCCAAAGAAGTGTGAGTAATTCTTTGCACAGACATCAGGTTTGAAATAATTTTTGGAAAGAGCAAAACATCATTTTTATCAATAACGTTTCAATTAAGTCTAAAGTGAATTTCATTTTCCTGCAGAGTCAGAGCACTAACATTTAACACAATTTCTATTTTAGAGCTTTAAATGGTTTACATATTGTCTAATGTACCAGTGAATTTCATCTGCAGTGAAGAAAACACTTCCCAGAGGTACACCGTCAGGGTGAACTTACACATTACACTGATTTAAGTGGCGTAATGATTATTGTCAGTTGTTTGCTCCTACCCACATGTGGCAATTTGCCACCATTCCGTATAAATGACCATAGCTCTGCCAACCTGGTCATAGAAATAGCTCACATTAACAACAACTTCCCTGAAAACTGAACAATAATTGAAACCAAACCCATGTAAAATTGGGAGAGAAAAATACAGAAAGGCTTTGGATGCTAAATTCTTTCAGATTTTTAACAATATGCCAATATTCTCAAGAATATAAAAGTTATTTGAAAAAAAACCACACGTCTAGATTCTGTATCAATTGTTGATACCTGTAGGCCAAAAAATAATGCTAAAATATATGATAACCTTACAAATATGTCAGAAAAAGTGTAACTAAAAAAACCCAAACAAACTAAGAATCTTCCTAAAGTGTCAACAGAGAAAATCAAATTTAGCTAACTCAGTATTAGCTTATTTTCCATATTATTTTGTAATTTAACAGATACATGTCATTAACATTAACACTGAGGTGTTGGTATGAAAGCTGATTTATCAATATGCAGAGTTTCCAGTGAGTTAAAATGCTACGGGCTGGCATACTGACACTGAAGTAGCTCGGTGCTTCCACACCAACACTCAAGATCTAAGCACACTGAGATACAGGTTTATCTCACCTCCAAAACCATCAGGCACGTATGTTTTAAGCACAATGTTGCAGAAAACGGTTGGAAGGGAGAGTGGTTTGTTGCCCTCATTCCGAAGGGAAATGTGTCTGTAACCTGCTTGCAGACCATCTAGAGGCAGGATCCTTTGACCAATCAACTTATTATTGTCATCATACACTGCTATTCTCAGGACAGCAAGATCAGGGAGAATAACCTGGAAAATCATAAAATGAAGAAATTCAGTGTCTCTCATACAGTAGCACGCACCCCGCCTTCCAGTGTTTGAACCATTCACTTTGTATGCCAGAAACAGGCTATCATCAGTGTAAGATAATGTCACTCCCTGCAAACTGCACACTTTAAGATTAATCTTTCCTAGAAAAGCTTTTTTTTCTAAATACTGGGTAGTTTTCAGAATATGCAAATCCAGAAGCATACAATTACACTAGCTAAATATTGTGCATATTTATTTTTCATTACTGAAGTCTAGTGACATTGATAAGAAGGCAGGTAAATACTATCTGAGAAATGACAAGATACAGTGGCAATCAAAGGGTAGATAGTGCTGAATGAGGAGGACCTGGGACAGAAAGATGGGGTTTGAGATTTATCCAAAAGGGCTTTTTTTTAGTGCAAGCATAATGTGATGGGAACGTATGCAGGTTCTGCAAAGGGGAGAAGCAGACAGAGTAGGGGAGGACAGGATGACAGACCTGCTGAAATGGTGTGCTGCCAGCAGAAGTGGGTGTGCTGTACTGATGACATGGAGGGTACACGGTATGCATGGTGGGCAGGGATGCTGCCGGCTATCTGCACCTGTTAGCCCCCATCCGGACAGACCAAAACAGTATCAAAAAAATCCCTTGACTTCCCTGAAACAAAGGTGTTGTCTCTGTGCATGCAGCAGTAAGGAACAGACAGTCTAACTGAGAGATGCATCCTCTCTGCCAGCTTGGAAAGGTCTTCCTACTCCTTCGCTACCTGGCTCTATTCATAAATGCTTATAGGACAAAAGGAAAGACCTAATTAAAATTGTGTCTACTATCTCCCTTGGACTTTCCTCCTGCCACTTTCATTTTCAGTTTTGGAGGTCACAAAATAAAGTATGTTTTTGGTCTCTGAACCCACTGGAGCTATTCACTGATAGGTTGGCTTTACTTAATTATAACAGCACTCAAGCACTGGTCACCACCAGCACTCCCCCCGTCCTCCCCCTTAGACAACAGAGTGACAACACAGAACTTGGGTTAGAATGACTAAAGCTTTATTTTAATTAAAATAAAAACAAGAAAACATGACAGAAGAACAATCAAACACAATACCTGAGCAACTGTGTAGGATTAAACATCAGCTTGAGGAGAGTACTGTAACCCAAATAAGGCAAGTATCCTCTACAGGGCACAGATCAGCACATCTTTCATTACATGATGGGGATCAGATACGGATTTGCTAGGGAGCAGTAGTGGGGACCAAAAAGTTTATTTTTCCTTCTCTATTACTTTGTTCTATGTATCCTGGTAGGCACCCTCACAACATTTTAGCACTGAGTACCCCCATACCTTCATAGAATCATAGAATCATTTGGTTGGAAAAGACCTTTAAGATCGAGTCTAACCATAACCTCACTGTACGAAATCTTCAGCTAAACCGTGTCCCTTAGTACCACATCAATGAGTCTTTTGAACATTTCCAGGAATGGCGATTAAATCACCTCCCTGGGCAATCTATTCCAGTATTTAATCATCCTCTCACTGAAATAGTTTCTTCTAATGTCTAACCTAGACCTCCCCTGGTGCAACTTTATGCCATTTCCTCTTGTCTTATCACCTGTCATTAGGGAGAAGAGACCCACGCTCACCTCACTACAAACTCCTTTCAGGTAGTTGTAGAGGGTGATAAGGTCTCCCCTCAGCTGCCTTTTCTCCAGGCTAAACAACTCCAGTTCCCTTTTAAGTCCTATGCTCCAGACTCGTCAGCAGCTTCTCTGCACCTGCTCCAGCATCTCAAAGTCCTTCTTGTAGGGAAGGCCTCAAAACTGAACACAGTATTTGAGGTGTAGGCTCACTAGTGCTGAGTACAGGGGGACAATCACTTCCCTACCCCTGCTGGTTACACTATTCCTAATACAGGTCAGGATGCTGCTGGGCACCTGGGCACACTGCTGGCTTATATTCAGCCAGCTGTCTGTTAACAGACTCAGGTCCTTCTCCTCCAGGCAGCTTTCCAGCCACTCATCTCCAAACCTGTAGCACTGCATGGGGTTGTTGTGACCAAAGTGTAGGACTCAGCACTGGGCCTGTGTGAACCTCATGCAATTGGCCTTGGCCCATGGATCCAGCCTGTCCAGGTCCCTCTGCAGAACCTGTCTACCCTCAGGCAGATCAACATGCCCACACAATTTAGTGTCATCCGCAAACTTACTGAGAGTGCACTCAATGCGCTCATCCAGGTCATTGATAAAGATATTAAAGAGAACTGGCCCCATCACTGAGCCCTGGGGAATACCGCTTGTGACCAGCCACCAACTGGATTTCACTCCATTCACCTTCTGGATTTAACTCGCCAGTCACTTCATTTCCTCCAACTAGAGGAATTGTTCACATGCCACTTATCTGCTTGGTTATCAATGTATGTTTTGATCATAATGGAAAACATTATATGATAAGGGCCTGATATGAAGAAAAATAATCTCTTGGCTGACTTATGGTATGAACTGTTCAAGAGAATGTGAGACCATGTTAATTGTTCACTGCAGAGTAGAGCAGAAAGTCCAAGGAATATTGGCATCAGCCACTGTATCCATGCCACAATGCACAGATACTTTTAGTCTGAAGCTGTGTGCACCCTGAAGTTTTCAGGCCTTTTTGATTTAAGAAATCAGAAAGCAGCAGATGCTGGCCATATGGCCAGCAAGCTATGGGTAGCATGACTGCCTGTCATTGTACCTAAGCATCTTCCTTGTGCCTCCTCACGTACAGAGAAATGCCCTTAAAGTCACATTCATTCCAGAACATATCTGAGCCCAGAAAAACCTCTTGCATTAACTACACTTCTATTAAAAACTGGTTATATTGTTTAAAAAGCAGATTATGTGTGTAATATACCCAAGTGCCAAGTGTTATCACCACTCGGCAAAGTCTGTCACTTTGGAATAAAAGACCAACAATTCTGCATGACAACAAAACAGGTATAAGCAAAACAGACTTTATCAAAGACGGCACTGCTAACACATGTAGTCTGGGTGAAACTCCAGTTGACAAAAAAAATAAAGATATATATGTGTGTCATATATACAAAGACTGAGAGATAAAAACTGAACATGGACAACAAATCTCTCTCTAAACCCCCCATATGAAGAAAAAAAGGTTTGGTTTTCTTTTGTTATTAAGAAAAAAAAAAGATTAAAAAAAAGGTACATGATGCACATGGACCACTGAAGGAGGGAGCTGGCAACACATCTGAGAAACACAGCACCCTTCCAACTTTTCCGTGTAATACCATTGACCTTAGCTTTGGATGCAGCATCTCACCTGCCCTCTGGGCTGAAGGAACAGTGCAAGATAGCAGCCACTGCCAGGGCAGGGAAGAAGAAATCTCCAAGGAATGATGGTGTCCACCAGCGGGGGCTCATTCTGAGCAGACTGCATACCTTGAACATACCATGGCCACGGAGGAGGTGGCTACCTCCAAGTGGGAGGAGGAAGCAAAGGGGAGGGAAAAGCCAAACAGAAACAAACAAACAAACAAAAAATCATGTGACAGCTACAGAAGTTATCCATTAGAAAAACAAAACAAAGCAAAATTTAAAAAAAAACAAAAACAAAAAAACTACAAAACCAAAACCAACAAAACCAAACAACCTCTTGAAAGCTTATTTCAGCTTTAGATTGTTTAGATGTAAACAGGAACCCTACAAACTCTTTTGCATGGAAGCAGTACTTATTCATGTGAGCAGTCAGACTGAAGCAGGTAAGGGTGTCTCAAGTGAGCAAGGATGCTCATGTGAAAAAGGGGCAGCAAACACAAACTACACTTTCCAAATATCCTACCTTTCGAAATACAAATGATTCTTCATTGTAAACAGGATTCAGACCATTGTTCATCACCATGCGTGTTCGAAATTCTTTACGTATCGTGTCGGTGGGTAAACCATACATATCCACTTCTACATACGTACCGATTTTTTTGTCTGATAAGAACTGACCAGATATTACCTGCAACACAATAACAGAGCAGTAAGGAAAAGCAACACAAAGTAAATAGCATTTGATGAATACTGGAAATACTGGTATTTTTTTACTGACAGCAGTCTGAAAAATGCTTTATACAGAACAGATATATTTATTTCATCATACAAAAATGGTATATTTAGTGCTAAAATTGCACTTCTTTAGAAAGGCTTTTGTGGCAAGAGCTTAAATATATCTTTTAATTTGAAATTATTGCGTTCATTGTGCTATCATATTAACAGCTGCATATCAGTCAGCCCAATTAGCTGGCATCTCACAGGTGCATTCACTGTATTACTGAAAATCACTGAACAAAACAATCAGATTAGCCAATGCTATTCTCCACCTTAAAACTTTCTGCTCTGAAGCACTGTCATCTATTGTATGTCTTGACTACCAAGAGCTGAAAGGAAGCTCTGAAAGGAAACAAAAACCACACACAACTCCTCTATATTGTTATGTATATGAAGATTTGTTGCAACTTAACTCCAAGTCAAGATTAATCTAGCCACAGCGGGTGATTACTCTAGGAAAAATTTTTACCCCATCAAGATGATCTGCTACTTAAAAATACAGCTAGTGTTCTTCATTACTATTATCAAGGATAGAAGAAACAAACTGAAACACGATTTCAGAGATCTAAGCTCATTTCAAGTCTTTTCTTGTCCTGTTCTAACATTCTTCCAAGGAACACTCTGGATAATAAATCTGAAAAGTTATGTGGCTGAGGGGTACCATCACTGGCTTTGGTCCATTCAACTCCTTTATAACAGTATTTATACGAAATATTATACTAGTTTTAGTCACACAAGAAGAGCAAGTGCCAAAATACATGATCTAAGAACTCTCTCTAGTGATAGAACTTAAGTTCTCACCACCAGATCTCACACATCCTTCTTGGAAGGATTGTACTGTCATTAACATTACAGAAAAACAACATTAATAAAAAGGTTTTGTTCTTCTGAAGGAGCCAATAAAATTTAGTTAGATGTCTAGAATGCAGAACTGCTGGTTGGATCAGGTTTGAAACTTCTATGCTGCACACAGAAAGCAATAACTGAAAGTGTTATGTCTTTCATTAAGCTGCACACAGGGTACTTGAGCAAAGAGAGTATGGTGTCAAGTTACAAAAAAGGTTTTACAATTTCTAGCCTCCTTTCAAAATGTGATACTCAACCATGCTTTACAACTGCAACAGAAGTTGTATGGTCTTTGTTACTCACAGATAACTCCAAAGTAAGGAATTGCATGACATGAACATTTTTCTCTACTTATTTTGAAAATAATCCTGTCCATGTGTGCCATATTCCTCCTTGTTCTATGGTGACAAGTGATGTTTATATAATTTAATACTGTGCACAGAAATTAACCTCACTCATTTATTCATTTGTGTGTGTTGATGTAATTCAAAAAGAGCATGAGGGGGTTTAAAATTCAGTGATAACATATAATAACAAACCATTTCTAATTCTATCATGTTCCACAAAGATCAAGTAAACATACATGTCTTAGCCAGCAATAAAAAACCCCAATGGAAACAAATTGATGAAATCCAAACAATTCAAACACATTTTTCTGTAGATATCCTATTTCTGTTGACAATTAAATGTAATTTTGGATGTGATGACAAGAATTTTTCTAATGCTGTTTTACCTGTACAGAACATGTTGCAGCAATTACACCATCTACAGGAGTTTCAGAGAAAGGGTCGAATGTTCGATCTGGTCGTCGCATGAAATCTGGTTTAAGTAGGTACCTTATTTCAAGAACAAGAAGAAAATTATTCTTGTGTAGAAATTAAAATCATATTAAATACAAATAAAATTACTGTTCTAGCTTTAAACTATGAACTCTCCTACATCGCTTTAAAATACAGAGTATCGTTCTAGCTGCAAGTGTGAAGAAGTAAAAGGAACTATTACAGTTGTCTAGAATACTGATAAATTCTTAATTTCAAATTACCAGCTACTGACAGATGAAATCAACCCTGGATTTCCAGATGAAAATGAATGTAATATAATCAAGAACATTTCAAAATAATTTAGTAATGAACTTGAAAAAATACAGTGAGTTATCATATAACAAAAAATAGATGCTCTCATTTGTTTTAATTCTTTAACACTTTGGAAAAATACAGAGGGCTTATTCAATTTTATTTTTTTAAATGAAGCAGTTCCATAGAGTCAAGACTCATACAATAAATTTCAGCTTGAAGCTAATTTTTTCATCTTGGTTATAAAACCTTGGGGAAAACAGCTAATAACGTCAATGCTGACAGATTGTTAATTATGGTAGAATGAAAGGTACTACCATAATAACACTTACAATACATCCCTCAGGACTGTACACTGGAACAACATATCAATGAAGCCAATACGTGCTCTGATGAATCAAAACGAAATAGCAGATGATCACAGAAATGCTGTAATACACATGACAGGAGTTCTCTTCCACTGGTGGAAGGAAACTTGTAACTGGAGTAATCTTGCTAATTCTGCAGCCCTGACAGACAACAGCTGCTAGAAGATAATGTTTTATCCAGCCTTAGTCTCTCTAGTGAATCACTGGCACACAATATTATGAAGGTATAGAGAGAATTAGGAATTAATTTTAAAATGCTGGAAAAATTCCAATTGAAAGAATGTAAATGTTTTTTCCCCATTTTTTCACAACCTGGCTTGTTAGGAAAGTAATATTCCTCATTTTTCTTACATTATAAATGTGTGTGATTTCATAATATTTTACTAATTTATATTAGGTTATGGGCAGAAGAGAATTATCAGAATCATTCTTAGCCTCTGCTTCAGGCCTGCTGAAATAAAAAAAATGCTGAAGCTAAAGTGTCTCGATCTTGTTTCACCAGCATGAAAACTGTAACCCAGAGAAAAAAAGAGTACAGACAGAAGGAAATGTAGTATTTTATTTTCATTGTCCTGCATGTTTTCTATGACTGAAACAGCACCACATTTATAATGTTCATAAAAATATAACACTTTATTACTGTAATAACAGAAGACTGACATAATAATCAAACAATTTAGTTGATAATTATGTTTGTCCTTCAGAGCATTTGGCAAGAGTGAATACGTGCTCTTTTACTAGGCTTGTGGGTCAAACAAGAAAGGAATCATACTCTGCCATTAAAAAAAAGTGTTTTGGTATTCTTCTGTTTTTGTTGTTCTGTCTGAAATGACCAGAGACTGCACCTTCATCAAACCCAACAGCCTCTATCTGAAGAATTCACAACTGAAATAAAGGCTTGGAGTGGTAAAGCACTATGCTGCCCATTCTGCAGATGAGGAATTTTACCAGGCTTCATCTACCCAGATTTTCTTTCTAAATAAGATTTGCATTAATAAAAGAGTTGTTTCTTCCCAGGATGAGTTTGCAGATTTTAATGTGTTTCTGGACTGTCATTTCCTGTAATTCACCAAACTTCTCCTTTCTCTTGATGTTAATGATCAGCCTGTCCTATTAAGGTATAAATTCAACATTTGAGAAAAATTATCAGCATCACTCAAGCATCCTTTTTCATGCAAAAGTCATGAGCAAGAACTTAGATGAAACACTTCAGTATTCTCTGTGAAATCTGTTATCCAACAAAACTATACAGATTTAAAAAGTGTTCCCCATGTATTAAGACTCAACCTGTCCAAGTAAATTTGGCAATTCTGTGAGCTGTGCAATGAATCTCCATACTGAGGTGCATCTTCAAGGAAAGACTGAGAACAGAGGCTGGAGATGTATTTAAATAACTGTTTATTATATTCATGATCTTCTTCATAATTTGCACACAAATTCTCTTCTATCTCATCTTTAAAAACTGGACATAATTAAAAAGTGTATTCATCAGAACACCTCCTTGCAGGGGATAAGTCTTCCTGAATCCTGCTAATTTCTACTCTTCACCTAGCATCCCATTTTCCTCTTGTAACACATAATCAATAGTGACAAAATTCTATTAAAACCATAGTAAAGGATTCTGATACACAGTGACAACAGTTTAAATCATATCACTCACCCGCATGATCCATTATATTCAAATTTTCCTTGATTCAACTGCATCGCTAAATCTGTCAAGAGAAAAAAAATCACTACTTTCCTTCTGAATAATGCAGATCATGAACAATCCTTTTTAGAAAAGAAAATAAGACTGTTTGCCCAGAATAATCAGTTTAAATGAAAATTAAATTTAATGCATATAACACACATACTTAAGAATTAAAGGAAGCAACAGGAAACTTCAGATTTCTTCACAGTAGTAACAGCTTTATCAACCAAGCTGAAGTCTACGCTGTGCCTAGAAAAACAGTCTCTCCCTCAATTCAGACACACCTGCTAGGCAGAGAAGCATCAGTCTGTGGTCATGTTAAGTGCCTGGGATGGGACTTCCATCATCTAACCTTTCATATTTACAGTATATATGTC